GCAGTTTGTTTTTCTGCGTGCTTTTGGTGTTGGATGTCATATGTTTCTCTTTTCTCTTTCTTGTCAATACATCTCACGGCGGAGCCGTGTTCTTCTTCGACGCCGATGAGGGCACCGGCCTCTGTCTCTCCCTCTTTTCACAGATGATTGTTTTTGTTTGTATGAGTCGAACGGTTGATTCGACGTCCGAGAGAGTGCCAGGAAGTGTCAGGGTTGTTGGTGGAGGGGAGGTTGTTTTTGCTGACACGGTTGCTTCTACAATTGTACTGGTGGTGAGGGGTTTGCCCAAACCAATGTTTGGACAAAGGCCACAGCAGTCACTGCTGTTGCCCCCGGCCGGCTGCATTCACGTTCGGCAATCATGTGATACGGTTTCTGAAGTCCTCACGGCGCTAGTAGCAATGGTGCATTTACCCCCGCCCAAACGACCGAGTTGATGCCTTTCGCCTCCACCTGACTCCGCACTATCTTAGTTTATGGGCACCGGGGAGTTGTGCAGATCGCCTCTTCAGCGTCCCAAGAATTGAGTTCCTGACTCTTTTTGATTCTCCCAACTCTAACTTCAGTACGAATCTACCATCGCGATAAAAGCGTCATTCTTCACGAATCAATGGGAATATTTAGCTAGAATTACGTGATTTGATGGTGCCATTTTCGTAACCCATGCAGGATGCCAGCTAAGCACTCCCCCCTCCCCCCCCTGCTTCTCTTGTCGTTGCACGAAACAGGCGGAAGAGGGGGGCGTCCGGTATGCCGGTGGGTGCCAATAAGAGGTACCAGTCGCAGGCGGTCGGCCTCGTGCAGGAAGTGATCGAATGGCTGATCGAGAAGCGCATGGTCAAGTACGACGACGAGACCGAGTGGAGAAAACGTTCGGGCCTGGAGCCGCTTCCCCCGCCCAAGCCCGCGGCAGGAAGTGGCAGCGGCGGCGGCGGCGACGGCGGCGGCGCAAGCGGGGGAGGAGGAGGAGGAGGGGGGGGGGGGGGGGTAGGAGGAGGAAGGAAGCCGGGACTACCCGTCCCGTTTGGCAACACCACCGGTGGTGCCGCCGCCGCCCGGAGCGCGCACGGTGCAATCTTCAGCGGCGGGAGTATGGGCGGCGGGGCGGCCGATGTGATCGACCTGCTGTCGGACAGCCCCGCGGAGGACGACGACGATGGTTACAGCGATTTCTAGGCGGCGTGACAGATGGGATGATGTACACGCTGCCTGGATCGACTCGGCGGGGGCCAGTTCTGATGTCCGCTGCGCGGAGTATTTTGGAACCTATTTCGTGTCTTGGGCTTTTGCTTTCATGCGAGCAGAATACTCGACTGGTCGTCCGAAGCAGCAACCTGGCATTCGTGGGACAACTGTTTGAGGCGTGGGAAGGGTTTAGGAGGAAGAGGTCTTTCCTGGTATGACGTGTCCCCCTCGGATTGGACGATTGGGGGGGGAAGATGCAACAGCAGGCCGATGGAGCACGAGATGTGTAGCAGATACATAGATAGGTCGTATTCCCAGCTGTCGGACGGATCATGTGAACATGAGGCAGCAGAGAACCCAATCACTGGTTCTTTTCTTTCGGTTCCTATCTTTGTGCCGAGCGCTTGCTCGCGCTATTTTACGAGCTCTGTCTCCGCTGTTTTGCTCACGTCTCCTGTGGATATTGTCTGTCGATAGCAAAGAGAAGGCAGCCTCTTGCAGTCTGTACCTTGGAGTCGTTTCCGTTTTCCTGCGCATGGGTCTGCTCCTTACTGATACATGGTGTTTTACACGCTGAGTACATCCGCCCACGTTGTTTCGGGGAATTTTCGTTGTTTACGAAGCCAACAGCAGTGGAGACGATGTTTTTGTTGTCGGTGGCACTTTTCTTCTATTGGCACGTTATGCGAATATTGCTCCAAGAACAAGAATGTTGGTGGTGCAACTTCGTAGGGTGACTCATCAGTTATACGGAGTGGGGCTCATCGATTCGTTGTCAAACCTGAGGTGCCGACGTAGTTGCTTCTGTGAGAACAGAGCTTGAAGATACTGTGGCGTGTAGAAATTTTTGTTCTGTCGACTACACCCGTCATGATGCCGCTAGACTGGGTGGGTGGGTGGGAGTTCGATAAGCTGATTCATCACCCCAAAAATCCTCCGGTCGCATCGACCAGCGACAGCTTGGGCGAAATGCCCGTTTGGTGCATGGTATGTCGGACTTTAGGTAACTGCCGTGTTATAGGCTGTCGGATTTGCTTGGTTGTGCCTCGATGCTGCGCGAACACCAAGTCGCCCGTTCTTTCGACACGAAACAATTAAACAGACGCCTCTTGCTCACCACATCTGCAAAAGCAAAGGCGGAGAGAAACCCGCAAGCAAAAGTTGAGCAGCTACGTAGCTCTCTGTCGGGGCTGGGAGCTGCTTCTCGACAAGCGTAGGAAGGCATGCAGACAACACCCGACGAAGCTGACATTGAGGTGTTGTCCAACTGATTTGCTGAGTGTCCCGAGCTCGATGATGCGCAGCAGCGGCTTTCAGCTCTTGATATCGCCTTAATTGTTAAAATCTGTTCCAACCTTATCTGATACATCGGACGCGGTCGAGGTAAAACGGCGTGTCTCCTTTGAGTCCCGATGCACCACACACGCCAAGGTAAGAGGAGATGGCCTTGCTTAGGAATATTCTGCCCAACGCCAAGCCATGAACAGAGGGCACGCGGTCCAAAAGCTCGGTCAAAAAATAATAAAAACAATTTGACTTCCTATTCCTGCATCACTCCAAGGAAACGCTGCATTTTGAGCACAGTCCCTTTGTGGCGCGTTGATTTTGCGTGTGTAGAGACATGGACAAAGAAAAACTTCGAAAAACAACGCCCTCTCAAACCCTTGTACAAGGTATATTCCTGCCTTGCCTTCACGCGAAGCACACCACCTGCAGAACTCCTGTCGTAACTGCTGGGCTCTGCGGTGCATGATCAAGCCGCAGATAAATGTTCGATGCATTTAGACTAGTCAATAGTCTATCTATTGACCACCCTCCGTCGTAGAGCCTTCGCTCCTTCTCCGCACACGATCAGGCTCCTCAAGGGGGGCGGGGGGTGCGAACCGTCCCTCCCCTCCCGCCGTCTTTCTCTCTTCCTTCAAAGTGTTGATCGTTTCCATCCGGTGCACCATTAAGCCTGGCGTTGCGGGCGCACACGAAAGGAGGGGTCAGCGTGATCCTTGCGCCGTCGAAATAAAGAGAGAAACGCTTCGCTCGGCCAACCCGCTTCGATCACCATTGAGATGGTGAGAGGGGTTAACGGGATATGACAAGTAAGACCGAGCGTCGTCAACATTGCCTCAGAACCAATGCGCCATGCAAGGCTGTTGTGGGCATTTAGATATCTACAGCGAGAGGTGACAAAACGTGCACCCCCCACTTTAGCACGGTGTGCGTACATTTTTGTCACAAGATACGGCAAAAAAGGGCGCTGGCGAATCGGTGTGCGCAACACGGGCGGGTTGTGGTGGGCTGATCCCGAGTATGGATACATGTGTTTTCTCACCTGCAGTGATCAGAACTTGGCCACCTTTGCCGGGTGGTTGATGGCGCCGCGGTTCGGTTATCCACCAACAGGAAGGGTGCATGGATGTCAACATAACATGAACACCGAACGAGGCGGCAGAAGGAATCGAACAACATGGCGTGTAGCAGTAACTATAGTGTGTACACGCTGCTCTGTTGTAGTCTACGTTCTCAATCGTGCAGGATCTTTTGGTCGACGTATGTATGCAACCATGTGCGGTTTTTGGTTGACACAAGAAGTCTAGAGGACTCGAGTTGCTATGCTTCGCATCGCATCCATCAGCTGTTTTCGGACACAAACATACACGCCCAAGGCTACAGACAGTACTGTGTCGGGTACGGTGGTATGGGCCTGCTACGGAGCGGCGGTGTTGCACATTACTTGCCCCAAATACACGAATATGGCCTATCCGCCGAAAGTGCTACAGCAGTGCTATACACCTCACCTATCAGGAGCCTCCACTTGAGCGGAACGTTGTGCAAAACATTCATTGTCCAGGCAGCGAGAGAGAGCGGAACCCTGCTCTGCCCTGGCGTACTGTTTGCGAGTTTGCGAGCAACGGAGCAACAGGCAGAGGTGTGCAGCACTTGGCGCAACGGGATGGGGGCCCCGTAGCGTGGCTCACCCACCATCTTCGCAGATCTCACCTCGCTCGTGATTGAGCTGTCCTGATCATCTCATCACCCAGCCAAGCCCGGAGTAGGATTACGGCATCATTTTACTGTTCCTCAGTGCAGGACCATGCGGTTGCTCTTGTGTTTCCTCTTAGCACGGCTCGTCAGGTGAGAGTAGGGCGGCAGCTGGAGGGCAGCGAAAAAACTGACAGTCCCGCCACTTTCCTGCCGTGTGCTCTTGCTCTGTCTCGCTCTCTACATACTCGCCTCGTAAATGCCATCAGTAGTACTTCACCCAGCCCCACAACAGTAGTCCCACTCACCACACAGTTCCATCTGATTCACGAGTTGCTCTCGCCTGGCTCACTCTGGGTGGCAAGTGAGGCGTCGAAATACATGTTGATAACTAATCTCTACCCGCTCGCTCATGTAAAAGATCGTAATCGCTCTGCTACTGCTGTCCTGCTATGTCAGCACGTCAGCACACACACGAATGCATGTGATGATATGCATGGTGTGCACAGCCTACAGAGTAGTCTTCATCCTCTGGTAACTCTTATCCTTCCTCCCTCGCACACCCCCTGTATCCCTCAGATACTGCATATCATCGATCACAGGTCGCCCTGTTACACACACACGTTGTTCCTCCGTTTGTTTGATTGATTGTCTGCGTCACGTGATGGCACCAGCTTGGCGGCCGGCTTCGGCCTCAGACCTGGCATGGGGAGCGGGCGAAGCATCACGGCTGGAAATCGACACACGCGACATTTCTCTTGTTGCGACGGGAAACATGTGCGCGTACATGGCTGTTGTGGATTGGGTAGAAGTGGGCCAAATGGTTGCCGTAAGTGCTACATACTACTGCTGTAGGTGTCATGTGGCCAGTCCAGTTGGGTGTGCTGTGCATGTAATCTATCGAGAACACGTCGACGAAGAAATTCGTGTGAAAAAAGGGAAGCGTCCTCGACAGACTTTGGGAGATAGTGAGAATAATACCCTATCTTTCGAGTTACGCGACGACAATCTGCTGTTCGAGGCACCCTTCTGCCGGGAAGCGGCCGCTCCAAAATGGATTCCCAGATTCTTTGGATTGAGCCCATCAGGTCCGTCGCAACAAACGAACCTGCTGGGCTCACGCCAAGAGTCCGGGATTCCGTTAGGGAGTGACTGAATGCCGGCTGGCGGACGCCTCGAACAATACTTGTTTGTCGTCGCATAAATATGGCTTTGGTCCCCCACCGTTTGGAAATAGGCATGGCGGGTGGTGGCCACCGCCTTTTCCCTTGTTTTTCGCGGCAATTTCTGGGCTTCTTTTTATTGGCAGATTTTTCTTCGTTGCGCGCTCTTGTTGTTCGCCGTTGTTCCCTACCGCGCATACGAATACAACTCTTCGATTGGATTATTTCATTCTGTAACCGTCCGCGTCAGTTGAAGCGCGGAGATCGAGACAACCGTTCGTAGTGTGAGACAACAACAACGACAATATGTCATGGGCATGTCAGAGTTTTCAGCTGTGTGGTACCCCGCGCTAAGGGTCGCAGTTTATCTGATAAAAGTCTGAACGTTTGAACTGTTTAAACATTCAGCTACAAGTCTCTGGGACTCTGCTTCTCTGGCAATTGATCTGATGCTCACCCATCCTTCCTTTTGCTATGTTCGTCATGTATCAGTCGGCACAACTCACGAAGTTAAGCAGATGACAGCGAACTGAAAACCTGCGTAAAGGCGTGCACTACTCCTCCAGATGCAACCCAACTGCCGGCTAATCGCTGGTGCGGCCTACTGATACCCGTCACCAATGATCTCTTCTGTCATGCAGGTACTGACCACACGCATGAGCTCGGTGGGCACGCCTGCTGATGTCGACGAGATTACTCTCATCAAGAATTCTCTGCTCCAGGTTAGTGCGGACGGTCTACAGCAGTAGTTTTACGTGCCAAATACTCACGACAACGGTTGTTTTTTGGGCAACTCGGTGGAACGAACGAAAGGAAGAGAAACAAAAGCCAGAAGCAGAACACAAAACAGAGGTTGATTTGTACCGTTGCCGCTGTGGTCGGCCTTGATTGGTGTCCGTGGCTATCGAATGGACGGAGGAATCTGGGATCTGAGGCCGCTCTCGGAACCATACTTTTCCCCCACCGGTCGTCGCCGAATCCAAAACCACCAAGCATAGAACATGTAGGCAGGAGCATATCTCCTACACGATCTCTTTTCATAGAGTTGAGTGTTCAACGTTCCCACCCAAAAGGTGGCGGCGATGACCGAGCGAGGGCAGCTGGCGACGGAGGCCCAGCAGAACGACATGGACCTCTTGCTGGAGCGCCTAGAAGAGCTGAAGGCGGAGGAGCTGCTCGAGCCGTACAAGGATGAGAACATGGTGGGGACCTGGACGCTCGTCTACTCGTCCTCGCAGGCGTTCCGCTCCAGCCCGTTCTTCGCAACGTTCCAAGCGCTGATCGGCAAGGACGGCGTCGCCGAGAGGATCTTTTCCTTCACCGACGCGTTCCCCAACGCCAAGATTGGTCAGGCGAGGCAGATCGTGAACGAGGACTGCACCGAGCTCCTGTCGCGGGTGGAGATGTCGGTTTGGCCTCACAGGTAATTCAGATGCGACGGGAGAGAGAAACAGGCAGAGAGGCTGTGTCGAACCGCTGTTGAGCCCTGTGTGCGAGTAGTGCATTTCGGGGTATCATCCGACACAAGATTGATACAAGATTGATTGTGAGGGAATTCATGAGAACAATGCCAGGCGCTTGCAGCGATGGGAGCACAGCGGTGTTTACCATCCTCTAGAGACATCGCGCTGGGTGTTCGCGTTCACACGTCACACGTGCTTGATTCGACGCCTTCACCGTGACGTTTTCGTTTTTGGTCAATGGTCGAAAGAGAACCGCCTGCTAGGCCACCACCCACAACATCTCTATCCGAGACGGGCATTTCTATTGCCCCCTTTTTTTCTTTCTCCAACGAAATGGCACGAGTTGCGACGATACGGTAAACTCCTCTCGTCCCCGCCAATACCCGCGTCAAGTTGACAAAGTGCTCCTCAACACCAAAACGCTGACGACAACAACAGCCCACGTACCCACCGACCAAGCAAAGCCAGCCACCGACCGAACGCGGGCGTTTCTCACCCCAACAGCGATCATCGTCGCCTCTTTTTTGTTTGTTTTTTTCGCATCTTGGGCGACAACACGTGGTGCCAAGTAGATGGATATCGGGCGTAGTGGAGACGCGGTCCAAGATCGTGAACGACGACATCGGCGACCAATTGGAGGTTATCGTCGACGACACCAGGGTTAGCGATTCCATTCTGGGCAAGATCAGCCCTCGTCTCGAGGAGGTGCGAGTGCCGGTCGACCAGCTCTCGGAGAGGTTAGTGGGGGATCGATCCACTGGGGGAGGCAGGGAAGTAGGGGTGCTCGCAGAGTGTTGGAAGAATTCAAGAGTGTCTTCGGTGAAATGAAACCGCCCGTGGGTTGGACGGTCAGAACATTTGGCGATGACATCTCCCATCACCGAAGATTCGGGGACCCACGGACTCAGGGCATGGACTGATGGACGACTAGTCTAGGCCTATGACCTTTCGATACATTGTCTCTGCATACACGGGGCTGGGAGTCAAGCCTTAAACGGGCATTCCCTACACGAATGTTTTTACCCAGCTCGCTGCCGAATGTGTCCAAGACACTTGAAGGTCTGATCTCGGTCTCCGTTGTGCACTATGGACGGAATTTTCTCGCAATCCTGCTTCGTAATTTTTCGTTCGTCTCTGCACTCGGGCTTGTTTTTCTTTGGGGAGCAATATCGGGTTTACTTGAGGCCGAAAGAGCTTTTAGCCGCCGCCAAGGCACATTCGGACAGTCTCATTTACATATTAGTTCTCGACCAATCAGCTGGCGATTTTCCTCGCTTGAATGCCACCCGACCCTGCCGTAACTGCCCACTCCGCCTGCGCAGACTATTCGACCGCATTCCGCGCATCACGCTGGACACGGTTTTCCTTGATCAAGATCTACGCGTGTCTCGCCTCCCGGATAGAAATTTCTTGGTATACGTCAAGGACTACTGACGAAACCGAGTGTAATTATTTGAACGGCGGGGGGTTGTAGGTGGATGCGGCGGAACCACAGCAGAGTGATGGGACGGGCGGTGAACAAAGGTGAAGGGGGATCCGATCATTTTGACCCTAAGCTTACCGGGGACGAGACAACGCGCCTCGTTCTTGGGATGGGTTGTGTTGTAGAGAGTTTATGTGGCACTCACGCAAGAGACCCCGTGATGATCGGCTCATTGATTTGTTGGACGCGAGATTTGTGTAGGGACCAAATTGAAATGCTTGTTCGTTTTGTGTATTGTTTCATGCGTGCTTGAACCAAAAGCGTCCTTGTGTCCGCGAGCGACATTAGAGAAAATAGTTCCAATTCGGCACGATTGGTATGGTCTACACGATGGTTGGAGTTTTTCGGCATGCCTTCTTGCCGAATCCGGTGGTGAACGTGACTGTGAGAGAGAGTGGGTCACGGTTGAGAGAATGAGACCCTTACGTTTCTCTGCAACTGCGACTGGATGTGGTAGACACGTGGGTTAGGATTTGCCTGTGTGTTCAGCTGTCTGAGAAAGTCGGCCGTGTCCGGCGCCACGGACGGTAGTGATCCATCGTCAATACTCCTGCACGACGTGTCTGGAACCGATTCATGAATTGACGTGGGTTCCAAAAAGATGGTAGGAACTCGCCGTTACCTCTTGAACATTGCTTTGCCAGCATAACCCTTGGAAGTATCTCTTAGCAAGGGTATTACTTGACCTCCGCTGCTACTAACGTCTGGGGTAGGCATCACGCCGACCAAGTTCAATTTGTGCTGATTTTCCCGTCTCTACCCTGACGGATGGATTCAGATGGATTCAATCGGAGAAGCCCGTAGAGGAAGAACGAAATCCACAAGAACCGAACATCTGCCGTAGACCATACCTTCCTTCAGCTACCAGGAAACTACGCCGTCGTGGCGATCGAAACAAAAAACAGGGTGACACTACGCGTGACGCGTACGCGGCATCCTTCTCGCTCGAGGAAGGCAACAAGAGAAACAGGCCAATACATATGCCACCCGCCCTCTTCCGTTCACATGCCCGTGTACGGCACATAAACGAACGGGTCTTTTTCGGCAAGGTCGAGGCTAGACAGCTCAGCTCCTTTGGTGTACGATCTGACGGAATGTAGGGACGTGAAGGATGGCACTGCCGGTGCACGGTGCAGGAAGCTCCATCTCGGTAAGTCCTCGCACCCGCGCTGCACTTCCCCTTCTTGCCCGAATTTCTCACGATTGGGAGAGTGTTAAGGAGTGTGGCTGCTAGCTTAAATAGGGTACATCTTATTTAAGCTAGGATGTGGGTCGGTCCCAGGAGGTATACCCTTCAGACACCTACCCTCTTAGGATTTGTCTAGTCTGCGTACCGCCTGAGGTGAAGTTGGATCCCCACTTCACCTCAGACCCTTGCTGATCGTCTCTCAGCAATAACAAGCAACTTTCCCATCTCAACGTGGTCGTGGACAAGCGTGTCAACGACAGAACCTACCTTCATCTATCTCTAGGAGCAAGCTACCGCCCACGGCTTCACCTCCTTTAAACTTGGCGTCAGCGGCAGGATCAGGATCTATCTCTAGGAGCAAGCTACCGCCCACGGCTTCAACTCCTTTAAAAGAGCCCCAGAGGGCGGGACGACTCATCTTTCGAAGGCTCGTCGGCGATGTGTGCCCACTAGGCTACCGGTACCCCTCTGGAAGGAGTTGGGGGTAGGGATAGAAATCGCACATGGGTATGTATCTGCTACGCCAATCAAGGGCACCCATGAAAACTTCTCAACCGGAACATGGGAAATGCCTGACACCCAAGCGCTGTTGCCAATTCATGCCTTTCCTTGCGTTTTGAATACCCTCCATCCCTCCTTCTTGTAGTCTCCAGGGCGATGATGAAGTGCAGGTCTATTCTGATGAGAAGGACGAACGAACGAAGGGAAAATACGGGCACACGGCGACGAAAGTCAGCCATAGGCTATTGATGCCTTCCTGAACGAGCCCTTGTGTCAAACGTCGACGATTTCCGAAGGAAAAATGCGGGCATACGACCGTGCAGCGCAGGCTCATTCATCAGTCTACAAAACGTGGCTATGCAAAAACGGCTCACGTCTGGTTGGAACCCACTTTCGAAGCACATAGTCTATACTACTGTGATGTGCTACGTTCACACGTAAGTGTTGACCTTGTTGATCTTTTCAACACGCCCCTTGAGCGCCCCCGTACCATCTCCACAACTAAGAGATCTGGTGCCTCAGGGCTTGTTGTGTAGTTCGGTATGAACTCTATATTTTATCGAAGAGAATGATCGTGCTCACCCGGTCAGTTCCTTCTGTCACTGCTATTCCGAAATTGGCCCAGATCCATTTTCTTCGAATTTTGTCTGGAAGTACATGAGTGAAAACTTGATAATGTCCTTCTCGCTCGTGAGGTTGGCGCGAAGCAGGGCCTTGGTGTACTCCTTCAAAATTCCTGGGAGATTTTTGTGGACCTTGGCGGTACACAGCAGTGCCAACAGGCCGCGAAGAGATCAAGTATAACGAGACAAATGCAATGAGTCGGGTGCTACAACTGCCGTAAAGAGATCGAGCGTTAGTTGGCCGCATCAGGATTGCGATTGTTAACTGAGTGAGGTTGGTTGCATCAATATTCGCAACTCAGTCGTCGGGCACAGAACGATTGTACATGCATCTACGGCGGTTTTCTTTTCACCGGTGACCCTAGTAATGAGGGTTTTAAGCCGCCTTCATCAGAGTCCCGGCCCAGATTGGCGGCCCTGCATGGGCTACGCTTGTGTCTACGATACAGCGCGTGGCCGTCTGTTGAGAGAAAACGTGTGTTGCAGGAGTGCACGGCTTGCTGTGCCCAGCTTACCTCTATCTGCTCGGGCATAAAAATTCGGTTGAGATCCATCGTGTCACAGTAGCAAAAGCGAAGAGAACTTGCTCACGCTCGCATGCCGTGTGGTGCAGAACCTTCATGTGTGGGCGACACTGACACAAGCGCGCACGCCTGTGAATTCAAATGGCCGTTTCATGCGGCATAATTGCGCATATGATCAGCGCAACAGCGAAACCCTCGCAAGATCTTGAGAACCAATACGACGAATCCATTGAGCCCCCCGCAATCTGAGGTTGCAGTTTGCGTCATGTGAGTGGTGGGTGCTCTTTCTGCTCAGCAGTCAGTGAAGTGTGTTGTGCGTGGTCAGCCTGAAGCAGCCGCGTGAAGAAAACAGGTGGAAGAAGCCACCAAGGAACCCCTGCTCTCCTTCAGTTGTGATGATGGCCGTTGAACAGGTATGTCCCTATGCAGTTCCCACGAAGCAATACGTCGTTCTTGCTTCGTAAAAGTAATGTAGTAGGCAGAGGCAGCAGTGCGGAACAAATATGCGCTTGTTGCACTTGCACTGTTGCATGGGCAGGCGTTGCTATCCTTGATCTAAAGGCCACCGCGCACTAGCACGGCCCACACTGACACACCTCTTATGTTTCTTGCTGGTCAGCTGTGAGCGTCGCTGATTGTTTCGCGCGTTGCACGACGTAACTTGTAGGTGTGTTGCAGAATCTGGGCACCGCAACCCTCCTGTTTGGCACACATGCAAACAATGCCGAACAAGAGGATAGTTCCGAGTTACAGCATCAAGCGAGGGTCCTTGCAGCCCGCACCCATATCCCGTCGTCCGTGCAACGAAATATAGCGTTTCAAAAACTCTCGATTTGTCCACACACTTCTGCAGCCTGAACACTCGCCATGCAGCATACAGCAGGAGGGCATGTTGGATTCTTGTTGCAGTACTGTACCGCGCACCGCATGGCCCTAACCGGCGAGTGTTGTCGGTCGTACACCCACACATGCATGACTGCTCTGTGTTTTGCAGGACTCCCCTCGAGATCTGTTGTTCTGTGTCGGAGGATTGATGAGTATTTTCGGTATCCGAAGCATTGTTGTTGTTGTTGTTGTTGTTGTTATTGTTGTTGTTGTTGTCTTCACATTAACCCTTTTGAGTCTTCAGGCGTTCTCACTGATCATTGATTGATCATTTGCAAATGCTGGTGTAGTGAAAAGTCGTGGAGTTGCCGCCCTGCAGCCCTTCGCGCCGTGTATTGGCAAGTCCATAGGTAGGTGTGTCTAGATTATTAGCACCGGCGCTAACCGGCTGACCAATGAAGAGACTTCAGTGACAGCGGGTAATATCAAGGTCTCGGGAATGAGAATGGGGCCAATCAATGCCAAATCATGAATCTCTCAATGTATGCACATGTCAATAAACGCGTGTGTGCATACAGTACATACATACATACATATGTGTTCTTTCGCAGCACCACACATACACTCGCCCGAACGTAGGAAGCCATTGCTGCAAAGAGCAGAGGACAGCCAAAGGGAGGGGTATTGCAGTCCCTGCCGAAGCCCAGATATCGAGGATATCGTGGTTCCCAACAATTTGAAAATCGTTCCCAAGATCCAGCAGTCATTGTGTCAACAGCTACAACGAACGCTACAACAACAACACTACTACTACTGCTGTAGACGAGTAGAACATATCAGCAACACATCCACACTCGTAGCGCCACACATACCACCCTCGCCCGAACCTAGGAAACCACGAGGTACAGGTGTGTGCTGGTGGATGTGCTTGTTGTTTGAAAAACACAGGAGCTCTAGAGAGTTGGCAGGGCACATTTCGGGGGGGGACAGAGAACAGAGAAGTACAGAAGTACAAATACCAGCTATGGGTCTTCACTGATCATTTTGCCCTCTCTGGACTGATCATTTACAATATACCGAAAATAGACTAGTTGAGGCAGCTAGACGACTGATCATTTCAAAGGCTACACAGCTAACCTGCCCTACTGACCGCAGCGCGACCACCCACCAACCCTTCTACGACCCTGTCTGTGGCCACCACCCTGTCGCCGGCTTCTCTCACGGCCTACAGGTGGAGATAGCTGTTGCGTGTGCAGAAGTACACTAGTGTCTTTCTCTGCACTTCTCTCTCTCCCGCTCGCTCTCGCTCTCATTTTTTTTTTTTGGCGCAAAAAAAAAAATCTGACAGTCCAGCCTAGACCCAAAGGGGTTAAACTCGTGTCAGTTGCTAATCCCAAAATCTAGCAAGAGCTCGAGTCCGTGGTCACAAACATGCAATGCTAATTTATCCTGGACTCTTTACCTGTACAAAGAGAGATGAGTCAATTCGATTGTGTCAAGACCCTGGGTCAACAAGCGACCTAAATAGCGGGGTACGTACTTTTTATCAGCGTGAAAATGAGCCTGGCTGATCGATCGATGTCCACTTTCAACCTGCCGTGTCACAACAAGCCCGCGGGGTATACCCTGCCTGAGGCTAGTTTTCTCTGTACGTGTGTTGTACCCTGGTTTTCGGCAATGTACCCGGTGCCCTGCCTTGACGGCGAGAATAAGATGGCCCTTCGTTCGGACATTTCCCTCCGCAGCAATCACTTTCCGCTCCGGCCAAATAATACAGACCACCAAATACACGGATAATCTTAATCTTTCGGGCTCCGAATCAAATGCTGGCAATCGACGTCCGAATCACGCTCCATGGTTGAACGCAACATGGTCGACACGCCGACTGAAACACAACATTGACGCAGCATTCCAGAAGAAGAGTGTTGGGTGGGTGGGTGTGGATGGCAGGCAGAGCGAGGGGAGGAGAGCACACGCACATCAAATGAATCTTTCATGAGGGAGAGATTGAAGGGGCAATAGAGCTGAGGTGGCAAGACTTGTCCGTGACTGCTTCGTCGTGGCAGTGAATACCGGTCAATCAGATGTTCAAAAAGCCATGCTGGATGGAGCGGATGCCTCTCCTGAAGCCAAACCCTTACACCGATGTTTGTGCTCGCTGATTATCGCAGCATCGATAGCTTTGCAACCTGTGTGAAACACCAAGTCAGTATGGGAACAAATGATGTGCGTATTGTAGGACGGGTAAGTACCGGAAACTTGTGTTGTGTCGTACGTCCCTTGCATGCATGATGATTCGTTTGGCATGCATATATGTATCCCTCCTCTCCCTCTGTCTTGCCATTACCCCCCCCCCCCCCAATAGACAACTCTAGCACGGTCCGTGCGTGTTCTGTTTCAGTTGGCGTGTCTCAACCATGTAGAGTGTTTCGGCTGTCGACTGCCAGATTATTTGTTTGGAGCTCCTGGAAGATTGATGTAGTGTTTTTAGTATCCTTTCGCTGGAGTGGAAAGTGCCGCAACACCCCGCGTTGTACATCCACAACGTCACCTTTGTACCCTCAGAAGGAACACCTTTGGCGAGGGTACCCGGCGTGTGTTTTCCTACCACGAACGCTCATACAGCCTGAGAAAGGGGGATATGTGGTAGGGTGCGAGTAACACTGCCGGCATCTAAGCTTCATTCCTGTTCCTGAAGACGAAGGCAACCTGTCCCCTTTTTCCATCGCTCATGTTCGTGCGTGCGTGTGATGCGCGGGCCGAAAACCTTAAGGATCGGAGGGCGAGGAACGTCCGTCTGGCGAGCGGCGACGCGTTCTCCCGAAGAGATCCGTTCGTGATCGGAGACCAGCTCAGTTTTCCGCTGGACATGTTTTCCGTCCCTCACCACTACAAGGGCGACGTGAAGGAGATCATGATCCCGCACGGCCTTGTCATCGACAGGTACCCTACCCGTGTACCGTATGATGTCCCCCGACAGAGCAATCGAATAAAACCCCCAAGGAGGTTTTATCATGAGCTCTTTGCTCGTAGTGCCCTCCTGATTGAGTGCAGACGGGGCGTACCGGAAATTCTGTTCGCAGAACACAGCAGCAGTGAGTGTGTTTGTGAAGGCGAACGACCGATCCGATCCGATGTGTTGTCGTTGATCGCCCCTTCCCCGTGCCGCTATGCCCTGCTTCCTGCTGTTGCCGATGCTACCTACCGGCAGACACCAATCCTGCGTGTGCTTTGTGTATTGCCGACCCCGTCGTCGTTTCTCCCTTCCGACTTGAACTTGGTGGTATGGTAGTGGTAGTGGTAGTTTCTTCTTCTTTGCTCAATCTCACTCAGCGAAGAACAAATCGCAACGAGACGAGTGGGTCGGTTGTCATACCGTTGTTGAGGTCGGTGTGGGTGGATTGGGACAGTTACGGGGAGATGTAGGCGTTGCGAGTGACCCACGCGGTACTGCAAGTTGTATACATCCCGATGGTCTGTCTTTGTCCTATGTCCCTACGTACGTACGAAGTGCCATCACCGCTGTATCTACGAGTGTGCAGGGCCATGCCGGTATCGAGTATGTGTCAGCGACCTTGTGCCCACACGTTGCACTCTTGACGACATGTACAGCCATCAGGTCAAGAGAAGCGTTGTGCATGCGAAGCTTAGAGTTTTTAGCTTGCCTTTGGTTTCTCGTGCGACGGCTGGCTTCCTCTCTCCCGCACCCCGCCTCGCCCTCTCTCCCCATCGTTATCCCCATCTTCTTCCCTATCTCCATATCTCTACCTCCGTCTTGCTCCTTCTCTTCTTCTCTACTTCTCTCTCTCTTCCTCTCTCTTCCTCTCTCTTCCTCTCTCTCACTCTCTTCCCCTTTCCCGCTCTCTCGGCAAAACCAGGATCCAGAAACTAGCGAAGGACATCAGGCACGACTACGCCGACACGACCATCCACCTTCTGTGCGTCCTCAAGGGGGGAAGCGCCTACTTCCAGGACCTCATCACCGCTCTCCGGAGATTTCACGACCACGCCGATCACGTGAGAAAGACAAAACGCAGTGACTTGGTAATCCCGTAGGGTTGCATAAGATACCACGCCCCCGGGACCGATATTTCAAGTCTTGATTACTCCACGACCAAGAGGATGCCGAAGCCAAACGGCAGGTGTTCGGAAAGCTCTCGACGGGAAGGTTCCAACTCCGCCATCGTCGGCGCCGTCACTCCTTTCCTGGCCGAGTAATCTAATCAAGCTTTGAAAATCCCCCCAGGGGGTGTGATATCTTATGCAACCTAAGATCTGTGTCAAAAGGTTCACACTCGTATTGTAGCAATCCCTGAGAAACCTCATGATGGCTCACTTGTTGATTGATTGTTGTTGTCTCTCTCTTGATTAATTCTAATGCAGCAGCACACTTGCTGGCTCCTGCTTCGGATAGACTGAACAGAAGGGGGCGCGGGCCGCTCCTTGCTGAGAGGGGGGGATGCTATGGCTATATCCCCTGTTTAGCAACAATCCAAAGGAGTTGCAGTTCCCACCAGATCTACATATCTTGCCTAGAACTATCGTTCAGATCCTTGTACTCAAATCCCATAACATCTGTGAAACGCTCCCCCCATCTGTATCACCAGCTACTGTACTCTAGATAGGTAAATTCCGTTGCCTACCGATTTCCCTCCATCCCTTGCATCCATTTGCCGCACGTTTTTCGATTGCCCAGCTGGTGATTTGTGGTACTTGGAAGTAGAAGCTTGCAAGAGTTTCGCGTTCCGTCAGGGTGTTTGCGGGTGGGGCATTTTTTTATTTTTTCGTTTGTTCCTTGCACGGGGTTGCAGTTGGCTTGTTGCATCTCCACGGAATTTGGTTTCTCTGCATCGGACAGCATAGAAGAGGATGCACTTGGTAGGGTGATAGAGCGTGTTTGTAAAATGGAGTTGACATCAAGGTGTCACGGGAACGTCGAAGCTTGCGCTTCACTCTCCTGTTCTTTCGCTGCTTCAGTCCCTCCCCCCGTTCGGCGTCTTTTCCCGGTAGGGTAGTGCTCACTTTCCCATCCTTGCACCCCCCCCGCCCCCCGCCCCCGCGTCCCCTTCCCATGCCCGACAACTCCCTTCAAATCATGACCCCCCGCGCTCAACCATCTCGGCACGGCAACGACGGCGTGGGACGGTGCGATGCTGCTGCTGCTGCTGCTGCTGCTGCTGCTACGCCTGCTCCTTTCGCCTGGTGCACCGCCAAAACAACAATCAATATCGATCGTGTGCCGCGTTTGGTTGGAAAGTCGTACGTGCCTTTCACGTTCGACTTCATCAAGGTAAAGTCTTACAAGGGCGTCAGCTCGACGGGCAGCGTGCAGATCACGGGCGGCGACCTCGCGGCGCTGGAGGGGAAGAACGTTCTGGTGGTGGAAGACATCATCGACACAGGTACCTGTGCATGCACATGAAAAGAGTATCTCCGGTTGTTGTTGTTGTTGTTGCTGTTGTTGTTGTTGTTGCTGTTATCTCACCTTTATCATCGTTCTGGTCTCTGTTCAGTGCCTCCTAGTATCCGAACTGGTCCACATGACGACTCGGGCGCCTTCCGTGGTCACAGCGGGGAGAAGAAAAAGTTCGATAGCGACAAAGTTGTGAAGAGGTGCCGGTCGTACCGAGGGCGCTGCTGGAAAGGATGCCGTAGTAGTGTGTGTCCGATCGATCAGTCTCTGCCCGGTGTTGCTGTGTTGTGGGCATTACGGAACCCGGCCCATCGTCGACGCAGGGTGTTGGTTGTGTGTCTGTTTGGCGCGATTACGTTTGTCGTGTGCTCCTGCTGGTTTCGTATTGCACCCACTCGTATTTTGTTCAGAAAGGGGAGAGTTGTATGGACCAAGCACGCTTCTTGTAGCATACGGCAGCAGGTAGGCGCAGGGTAGCAGGAACCGAAAGCCGGTGCCCCCCCCCCCCCCCCCCCCGGGGTGTTCCTGGGAAATTGCCCAAAAAACCCCTCCCCCCCTGGGGGTCTCTCTCCAGACCAAATTGCCCGAAATTTCCCCACGTCCAACCACCCGAAGCCGGGAGGGAGCTTCCCCCCTCTTGGGACCGGGAGCCCCAAAAATCCCTGGGAACCAAAAAAAAATTCACAAACACATGGCCCCACCCAAATTTTCTCCGGAAAAAAGAAAAAATTCCCCCCCCCCCCCCTTTTTTCC